AAGCTATTTTTCTTTGTATGGTTTTCTTAGTATGTTTGATTTGGTGATAAGTGGAGGCGTTGCAGAGACAAGGGTGGAACAAAACTGAGAAATACCGGCTGTTTCTTGGTAACTCGATTATGACGATTTGTGTTTCGCGCTTCGCATGTGCGACTCCACTGCCTTAATTCCCATCGTTCCGAGCTTGAATTGCTTCTCGCACAAAATACTCTGTGCCTCATGTATGTTCCCTGGTTCTGGTTTTAGCCATGGAGAAAACCTTTGGATGGATAGCTAATTTTCGTTACATTTACACTTGCTCATATTTTCCAGACAAAAAGTTAATAGCGCATCTCCCAAATATCCTGGCCGTAACAACGCTTTTATGGTTTATTGGTTCCGCTATCGGGACGGAACCAATAATGGCGAGCCGTTATTCTTTTAAATAAATAAAAAAGGTCAATTTTAATGTTTTATTTAGATTACAAAAATAAATCATGATAAAAATAATCCTATTTATGATGTTTTTAAAATTAAGACCTACGAAAGGCGGATTTAAGACATTTTAATGCCAATTAAGGCCTTAGTTTTATTTTAAAGAATTTAATGCCGTTTAAGACTTTTTAAGGACCTGCGGGAACCCTGTATTGATGGGCTTCAAGTCTTTATGGTGGAAGGGCTCACTACAGATTCACTATGAGATCCAAGTTTGGACTAACTGCTGCCAGAGAAAATCAAACAAGAATTCCCAGGCTTACAAAGCAAACAATAACATACATTCATGTTACCTCTGTGCTATAGTAGCAGCCATTTAAAATTTCCCCACTTTCCTTGATGTGCCGTTGGCTGGTACCTGTTCAATTCCTTTTTAAACATCAATATTTGTACTAAAATATTATTTCGGTCACGATTTGTTGACATTAAGATTTAAAGAGAAGCCTCGTCTCCTGGTCAGATCGTGTAATTCAGCGAAAGAGTGGCGTCAAGAGTAAAAAAACATGCAAGAGGGAGGTCACTCCAGTAGCTGGAAGTTAGAGGGGATTTTGCTGGGAGTCGCAGTGGAGTAGGCCCCCATTCGGCTGGCGATTAACTGGGAAGGGCCATTTTGAATGGCTGCTACTGTAAAACAGTCCAATTCATAATGGGTGAGCTTATTTTTCTAACAGAATTTGTGTTTGTGACTTGGTACTTTTTCCCCATCTCCATCATCACTCCAGTAAATAGAGGATCATTATAAAACCCTCAGGTCTTGCTGGCCGTCCTTCCTGTGAGGTTACCTGCATTGACAGGGTTGCCTGGAGGCGTGGAGCTGTGATCTCTGACTGGCTGCAGCCGTGGAGGAGACGGACCGTCTTCATCATTTGCTGAGGCGGAATCTGATTTCCTCTTTAGGGAAACACTCGTCTGCTTTCCCTTCAGACAAAACAAGCAAAACAAAGACATGAAGCTGGAAGCTAGAGACAGATTACTGCAGCAGTCAAAGGAACAGGGAGGAGACGTAAGGTTTGCTTCCAGAACCGATCAGATCGACGTTTAAAATATTAGGACATTAAAACTGGGTAAAATAATCTGGATCTATTGTTCATATTAATGGAACAAATATAATCATTCATGTTGTTTATTCAGGAATAATTAAAGGAGCTGCAACATGAAGTAGGGTTTGAAAACATCAAGATTAAATAAATAAAACCCTGAGGAAACCCACTCCCTATGCTTTCCAAGCTCTTTAAAGAGAAGTGTGATGATGCACTACTTTATTCACCATCTATTCAGNTCCCTATGCTTTCCAAGCTCTTTAAAGAGAAGTGTGATGATGCACTACTTTATTCACCATCTATTCAGCGCAGAAAAGGAAACCCACATAGAAAAAAATTTGTTTTGTTTTTTTAAATCTGAATCTTTTAGCAGTTTTTTTAAATGTTTGTGTGATTAATGCCAGAGAGATGAATGATCCACACCTGCAGGAGAGCAGATCTTTACTTATAGCTTTTTTACGATAAAACAAACCTCCCCCAAGGTTGTTCTTCTTCTTCTGCCCATAATCAAACTTTTTCTTTTGGACTAAATTACAATTGTAATTTTATCTCCGTTTTGCCCTAACTACACATATAAAGGTTTTTATTTCATCGTTTTATTAACCTTGGCTTGTTGTCCCACAATTTTACCATTACTGTTATGGGGAAAAAAGCTTACTTTTACTTGCATGCACGGTTCTCTGCGCTACCAGCAATATACCTCCTCTAGGGCTGAAACAGCTAATCATATTAATCATGATTAAGAAATATATGAAATAATCGTCAATCGTCAACTAATTTAGTAATCGATTAAACGTTAACTTGAGTATAGAGACTGTAAAACATGCCTTTAGTTGACAGAGCGACCCACTTAGAGCAGGAATTATACCAAGATTGTAAAAAAGCATATAAACAGTTTTCATTTAAGATTAAAACAAAATTTTTGTCTGTCAATATGCTCTATCCAGAAGTCCTCAAGTGGAAATGTTTTAGTTTCACGTGGTTTAATTCAGTAAAAAATTATTATTATTAACTGAAAAAATAATCAAGAGATTAATCGATTTGCAAAATAATTGTTAGATGTAACCCTAATCATCTCCGTCCTGCATGGAAGCGAACACATCATGAGCACATTACTGCCCCCTAAAGGGCTGGACTGAGAAGGTCAACTTTCTACTCTGTTAAATGTAATCTGACTAGGGCTGAAACAATTAATCAGATTCATAGATTATTCAAAAAATCAGCAACTAATATGTAATCTACTAATTGCGAGTATAGAGACTCTTAAAAGGGCCTTTAGCTAACAGAACGATCCACTTAGAGCAATAACTATACTAAAATTATGAAAAAAAGCATATAAACATTTTACATTTAAGATTAAAAAAAATTTTTTTGTCTGTCAATATGCTCTATCCAGAACTCCTTAAATAGAAAAGTTTAGTTTCCCCAGATTTAATTTTGTATAAGATTTTCTTTGATGAACCTTTGGCTATCCAATTATCAATCTATTAATCGAAAAAAGTAATTAACAGATTAATAGCTTTAAACAAGATTCAAGATTCAAGAGACTTTATTGTCATTCACATCACGTGTTACATGAGGTAGAACGAAACTGAGAGGCACGGCCCCAGTTACATCCGAATATAAAAAATAAAATCCTTAATCCTTAATTGCAGCCTTAAATCTGACCAATCAATCTACGCCAATCAATCTACGTCTGCAGACGTAGATGGACATGGTTGATCATTACTCTAACCATAGTTTAGTATAAGCAGTAGATATCAAAAACCTTTTTAAGGGATCTGGTTTATTTTTTAATTTTTTTTTTTTATTTAATTCTAAAAATCATTGTTTTGGCTTAAATATTATTTTTATTTAAAGAAAATAAAATAATAATAATAATGAAAAGGCGACGATGTATTTGGACAAAGACATGGCTGAGCAAACGTGGCTACTACGGTCTGTCAATTTTACAGAAAGAACTCCATTTCACTGGCACCCCCGCCATGTTTCTGTGTTTTCGCCTGAGAGGAAAAAGAAGAAGAGTCCTTGTTTGCTCACTGAGCGATTTGCCCACAACAGCCGACTGAATTTTATACATGTTTGGTTTTCTCTTGACCTCATGATTCCTGATCGAGAGGTGGTCATGAGTGGCTGATCTCAACACTAAACGATGTACGACCAGGCTGAAAGTCGGCCCAATCGAAAAATTCTTACACGACTGGAAAATATATGTGTATACCCGGCTTAAAGGTACGAAAGAGGATTAGGGCCAGTGGAGAAAAAAAATTTCAGTATAGTATGGGAAAAAAAGTCAGAATTTTGACTTTAATCTGAGAATTCTGACAATAAAAAAGTCAGAATTCTGAGAAAAAAAGTCAGAATTCTGACTTTTTTTCCCATACTATACTTAAATAAAATAAAAAAAATCTGTTAACTTTTTTTTTTTTTTTTTCAATGGCCCTAATCCTCTTCCGTATAAAGGGGACAAGCATCAGTCACTAAAAATATAAGCAAGAATTTAAGCAATCACTGTTCTGCAAACCTACAAAAAAACAGCTGCTATATTATTCTTCTGATAACGAGCGAACCTTCTTATCAGGTAACCAGGTACAAAGTCAGTGGGTCTTTATCCCAAACATTACAGCATCTGTGAAGAGTCTTGATGCGGTTATAAAAGTTAAAACACACCAATCAACTGACCTGTGGAGTCTGACCTCCTGACGAGTCTCCGTTAGCCGTCAAACCTGCTCTTCTCTGCTCCTCGGCGCCCTGGGGGAGGGACTGTGTGGAACGAGACTGCGAGGTGGGAGGAGCTGTAATGGCTGACGACTGAGAGGAGGCGGGGCTTGGAGCTGAAGCTCCGTTCTGATTTACAGCAGAGCTTTGATTGGTCTGGGGTTGCACTTGAGGAGCCTGAGCTGTGGGCGGACCCTCCTGGGGCGTCTGAAGAGTCTTAAGCCCCACCCCTCTGTCAACAACCCCCCCTTCTCTGGAGGCAATGGAGGCCACCATGGTGAGGAGGCTGGATGAGCTGCTGAGGACGGCCCCTTCCTGGTTGCAGCTTCCACGGGCAAGGGCTAGGGCCTGGGGGGCTCCCAGTGAGCTCTGCCTGGCCCCCACTATCTGGACCGGGATATGCGGAGGCTGGGAAGGATGGTTAGAGCTGCTAGCAGGCGGTGGGGCAGGCAAAATGGGAGGCGGGTTTCTGGAGGAAAGTTGTAGAGGCAAACGGAGGCTCTGCAAAGTCTTGGGTTGGATGGGAATGGGTCCGTTTGCATGGCCTGATTTCTCTGTGTTTAAAGCCGCCTTTTGCAAAGGCTGAACCACCAGAGTCTGAGCGTTGACTGCAGGCTTGATGGTCGCCGTCCCTACCGGGTACGCGTGGGCCTGCGACGTTGCATTGGACGTCAGGACCAGCGCATGCGCTGCTGTGGGAGCTGTTGTCCCTGTGGTTAGTGTTCGAGTTCCATGGAGCAGGAGCTGGGAGAGAGGGATGGAGGACGTGGAGGAAGAGGAAGAGGAGGAGGCACCGGACGAAGAGGTGGGGTGTGCTTTAAGGTTAGTAGGCTGGGGGTAGGTGGGGATTTTGATGTGAGGAGTCTGTGGGCTGGGTTTGGTTGGGGACTGTGGGTTTGATGGGTGGGACGGCTGGACCAGAGAGTAGGCACCTGATACCAAAATAAAAACACAGGCAAACACCTGGTCACAATCACACTTTGCCACAGGGAAGAAAAACTTTTTTACAGACATGTTTTTCTTATTTGTCAGGTCAACTTAATTAGAATAGCATTAAAGAGTTCAGTCTAGGCAACTGGACATGAAGTTTTCTAGTGGGGAGCTCCCAACCAACACTAAGAACTGAAGAAGCCTTTTGGATAAGAGGCGAAACATCTTCTAAAAAACCTTACGTCCAGTTGCCTAAACTGAACTCTTTCAAGCTTGACCATGACCTTGATGAGTGAGAATCTTCACAGATATTAATTACAATAATCATATTTTAAGGCAGGGGTCACCAATGTGGTGCCCGTGGGCACCAAGGGGCCCTCAAGGACAACATGGGGTGCCCTCAGCATCTTTTGAAAACAGAACAATTCACCAGTGGACTAAATCTGAAATTTTATTTTTCACTGAAGCTCTTATTTTGAAGCATTTATGAAGCATTTTATCATATCAATAAATTAGAACATTTGAGGATTTATATGGATTTCATATTGAGAATATCTAAAAGCAAATTAAAAATGAAAAGAAACAATAGAAATATGTTTATTATCTATGAAGTTCAGGTGAACTCCTCTAGTTCATAGGTCAGTATTGGTAGCCCGTCCTATGGCTCAGTACCCATAAAGTAGCTTTCAGCCTTAAAAAAGTTGGTGACCCCTGTTTTAAGTCATAATAAGGCTTCTAAACTCAAAGGAAGGATCTGTGTTTTTTAGACATAATCCAGGAAACGAGTAAAGACTATTTTATATTTAGGCATTTTGATGCATGCAAGTATTTCAAAGAAGCAATTTGGACCTATTGCTTTAATAAATCTACAAAGTATGAGAATTTGATGGGCAGAAAACATATTTCTAGCATCATCAGCACTGACACTTGGTGAAAAATCTGTTAAGATCTGACAGTTCCAAATTTGACTGACACTCAATCGTCTTCAGGCTTGAACTTGAAAAATATGACCTATTAGTGAATAATATAAAAACACAATATATTCATATTTAAAAGCTGCCACATCTTGGGAAAGAAAACACTTTGTAAAGTGAATCCTGCTGCTAAATGAAGGAGACTTAAAACAACAATTCGAGTAGAGAATTTGACCTTAAAGAGTAAAGAGTTAAAGAGCAATTAAATACATTTATATATAAAAAAAGAAATATTATTCACTAATATTAAAACATTTCTTCTTTAAAAATTGTCAACTCTGACTGACTTCAGTAATTTATTGTTTCCTTGACTCTACAATAAAGCATTTGATGTAAAACAATACAAAATGAAACTAATAAATGAGCGGAATAATAATGTGATCAAATTGTATCATATCCTACCTGAGTCGCTCCTTTCTGGAGCTTCAGTTTTAACACCTTTGGGACTGGAAACGCCTCGGATGGCGAGATTCTGGGCCTAAAGAAACGGAGGATCATTCATTGTTGGGTTGCCAAGCTCTAAATCCAGACACAGCAACAAAAACCATAACACCTTTGTCAAATTAGCTCCATTACTCCTCATACCTGGTCGTTATCTGATTGGCTTCCGGAGGAGGAAGCTGGTGTTACTTCCTGCTGCTGCTGACTCTGTGGTTGCTGGGCAACGGTCGCCACAGCAGCGGTTGCTGTGCTGCCAGGCATAAAGATGAGCTGAGGGGGCATGGGGGTCCTCAGGGAACGATTGACCTGCAGACAGACGTCAAGTTACCGAACATAAATACTGACACCAAGGTCACAGATTGGCTAAAAGGAGCTAGTGTGAAAAGACACAAAAAACTCACCCTCAGGTACATTTGTCCCTGACCGCCTGCTGCCCCGCTGAGCAGCACAGACTGACTGATGGTGGAGGTTGCTGAAGCACCTATAGGACGGCTGCCGGTTGTAGAACCTGCTCCAGATGTTACACTGGCCTGAAGAGGAGCAACATCAGACTTTTAATTTGTAGAATCCTCTGTTTTCCTAACAGATTGTAACTGTAATGATCGATTCCTCTGCTGAATCAAAAGCATTTAGCAGATTACTTATTGTGAACCAAATTATAACATTGAATGTATTCAGTTTTGATGCATATCTTAAATACCATCATTTAAACTTTCCACATGACTGAATTAGGTTTATTCCAAACATATCCAGCACTCTTCACTCTAATGCAGCATAAGTAAGAGAGGAATTTCCAGTGACTGTTTATCTAAACATTTTGGCTGAAAAAAGTTCTACTGTTGTAGCAGATGGATGATCTGCATAGCTCAGTGGCATCTGCTTTGCTGCACTAGAGTGTGTTGGCTTGCATGGAGTTTGCTGTTGCATTGCACTGTGTGGTGGGGAGCTTGGAGCCACGTTCAGGCCCAGCACTGTGTGCTCTAGTCAGTCTCTGCAGAAATGAGGCTCTCTATTGGAGATGTGGACCTGCGGGACGTTCATAGGTTTGGGTTGTGGACTAATTCGTGCCCAAGTGGCTCAGGTTGGCCGGCTCGTTTAGAATATGATCGGAGGATGCAGCTGTTCCTATGTTGGTCTTACTTGAGGTACCACAGTCTTTTAAATGTCTGCAGCACCGTCTGCCTCTGCACCATGGGGGGCAGGTCTTTGACTCCTCACAACCACTAGTGAGCCTTTTTGAAATAAGAAAAATCTACGGTGTAGTTTTTAACGAGATTATCATCTATATTTATATTTGTTGTATAAACAAGTAATACTTTTTCTGTTATTCTCTTATTCTCTATGTCTCTCTCTGCAAGTGTAGAAGCAGTGGATGTCATCTTGTGTAGTCGTTTCCTTCGCTTCACTTTTTCACGCTCTTTCACTTATAACTTTTTCCCTAACTTCTCTCTCTTTTGGTTTTTGTTTTCTTATTTGTTTCTGTGTCTGTTGCACTTGAAATAATCCCAAATAAAGTCCATTAAATATGAGCTAAAGTATCATAGCAAAAGCAGTAAAAATTTGAAAATACTTCAGTTTTCAGAAAAACATAAAATGCTCTTTGTGTTTAAATCAAAAAAAGAAAGGCTTTGGAATTGATTGACATGTGAAGTTGGTAAAAGTTAGGACTTTAAACCATCCGAAAAAATGAAAGCAGGGCATCTTTGCGCGATCTAATTCCATTTGGAAAATCTGTTTTTTTAAAATTTGTTGTTTCCAAGCATTTCATGTTAGCAAAATATAAAGCATACTACTGTAGTGCTGGTGGTCTGAGAAGAGCTGCTGGAGGGACTAGACTGGCGACTGGCTGCCAGGGTTGCCTGCAGAGGAGGAGATAAAGATGCAAAAACCAGAAGAAGCAGAGAAAACATTTAGGTGTCCATCGGATCCAAAGAAAAGCGGTTTACTGAGGCTGTCCTGTGGTTGACAGAGGACGTGGCTCATTGTTTTTAACCGTATTCCAGCCAATCTGACAGAACATCTTGCCAAGATGGAGGCTGTATCCTAAGCTTCTATCTTTTACTGCATTTTTTTTATTTACCTTGACTTGTTGCACAGCAGCCAGATTCTGCAGCTGGGCGCTGTTGATTTGTTGCTGCAGCATCAGTTGCTGGAAGTACTGGGCTGCATTAGGCTGCCTCTGCAAAGCCTGAAGGGCCTAAAGGAACAGGGTGGGGGAGAAAAGATTCAAAAATATGAAAATTAATGACAGGGTGAGAGATGAGAACAGCATGTGTAAAGGAGATAAATAAGTGAATGATTTAGGCAGAGGGCTGTGAAAAGAAATGATTAAAAGATGGATAGAAAAAAGAAAGAGTTTGTAAAAGATCATAACATGGTGAGATAAACAGGAACATAAGAGCAGGAGGAATAAATGCTGCTGCTTTCTGCCAGAACCCTGATGTATGAGCCGAGGTTCATACTGTAATAAGTTGACAGATGAATGTGAGCGCGGCGGCTTGGATTAGTATGTGCAGGGTGACAAAGACAGATGGCTGGAGGGTGACAAAGGCCTGAGAAAATAACATCCAGCCTCCTTCCAGTCTCACCACTTTGTTCAACAACCCAGTTCTCTCTCTAATCATCAGTTTGAGTCACAAATTAGAAAAAGATTACCACCGTAAGACACAATTTGGGAAAACAAATGCTTATAATTACAACTATTGGTACTGGAAAGAATATTAATGGTTCTATATTCAAAGCTTAATTGCCATCCTACGTTGTTTTCATATCCAAACTTTTGTACATCTGCAGAGAATGTTTTAGACATTTGGCTGTTTCTAAAAGCAGAAATAAAAAAAGAAAAAAAGGTTTACCATAAATCTTAGCAGGTATAAAGAGTTTAGGATTAGAATAGCTTTAAAAAGCTTTTTAAATGCAAGCATTAAAGACACAGGATGGAAGAAAGACAGAAAGGTATTATGGAAGGAAAGTTAGAGGAAAGTAGCAGGAAAAAAAACAAGAAGGGAGGAAAGAACAAACACCTAAAGCGATCTAAAGAAAATCAGACAAAATGCGGAAAATTTATCAAGGAAAATAGCAAAAAAGATACAGAGAATGAGAAAATTAGAAAAGAAATATGGAAAAAACAGCTGAAGAATATATATAAAATTAAGAGATTAAAAAAGGAGAAAAAAAAGCTAAGGAAAAAAAAAAACAGATGAATTCTCCAGGTCATTTTATACAACAGAGTACAAACAGGTTTGAGATTTTTTCCCTGTATATTTCGAGAATAAAGTCGGAAAATTACAAGAATAAAGAAGGAAAACTACAAGAATAAAGTCGGAAAACTACAAGAATAAAGTCGGAAAATTACAAGAATAAAGTCGTAATATTACGAGGAAAAAGTAACAAGGAGAATATTCAAAATTACGGGAATAAACTAATAATATTAAGAGAATTAAGTCCTAAATTTACAAGAAACAAGTTGTATTTTATGGCAACTCTTACAAGAAGCACTTTCTTCCCTAAAATGAGGAATATCGAGCATCATGTGAAGTTATACTTTGGCTCTGGTTTGACAAATAAGAAAATCTTTTAGCACAGCAGCATCAGATTAGACAGTAGGTCAAAGTGGACTCGGGTTGATTTTTGGTGGAGCTGGTCGGCCGTCATGCTGGTCAGAGCTTGAAGCTTTCTTTCTGAAATATGTTGTGGTATAATGACTTCATTCTCATAATGCTACGACTTTATTCTCGTAATGGTACGACTTAATCTCGAAATAGAAGAAAAAAAAATCTCTAGCCTGGCCCTAATACTCCATCATAATTTTACGATACTTTAAACTTCCTACATTTTTTAACCAACAGGCTCCTAGAAGCTCAGTTTTAAACAAAGACCTTAATCACCAGATGCATGTCTGAAAAACGCTCCTCTCTTTCCTACATGAAATCAAGGAATCTACGGTAACTGCTTCACTCCCACTTCTAAGGATGTTAAGGGAAGGAATGTTCCGGCATTAAATAGACAACCCAGAGCCATAATACAGAGATGTGTCACTTTAAACAATCTGTCAGACAACCAGAGTTCATAAGATAGAACCTCAGCAACATTCAACACAAGTTTCATTGCATCAGATTGTTCCTAAAACTGTGTGACCAGCGTTTCTTCAGTGCACTTTGAGGACTTAAAGCTTTTCAGCACAAACAGCCAGAGATAGAAGTTATTATAGTATAACTCATGTGACCTACCTGAACCGCCTGCCTCTCATAGGCAGACATGGAGTTCATCGGGGAGGGGCGGGAGCTCGTCCCAGAGGGTGTGCTCCCATTGGCTGAGCCTCCCTGCTGGTTCTGCTCTCCATCCGCCTCCATTGCTGCAGATGAGCAGAAAGAAGACGTTGAGATAGAACGCAGAAAAAGATCTCACCACCTTCTCCTTGTCAGCCTAACATTGGTTTAAGGATCAGGAAAACAAGAAAAGCTGCCTGAGCTGAGACTTAGAACTTTCTTAAAAAGTGTGATGTCATCAGTTGTGGCACATTCATATTCTCATGATTTTTTCAAGCTTATCTACCAATTAGAGATCAACCAATACAGCTTGTAATTTGGATACAGGTTGTTTTAACTTCAGTCTAACTGATCTTCTCTGTTTTTTTTTTTTTTTATTTGAGGATGACTCTTGAAGCCAACATTGTTTTCTGTTCTTCTATTTACACACGAACGGACACTATGAGAACAGCTGTTACACAAGTCTCAATTCAAACTAAAGAGAAACAATTATTAATAAACCCGACAAAGAATTAACAATTGATAGCAGATGGAGGAAACAGTAATGCAGGCCCTGTACTTGATCTCAAGGTATGGCTGAATGCACTAAGGAATCGGCCAACGGGAACCCATATGGGCCAATGGCCAAACAATAAAATAAATATGCCAATACCAAGTAAAAAAATATCAGCCACTCATAGTCTACCATCAATATAAAGACTCATATCCCTGTGACCTTTAACCTCTAGGGACCATCACCTGCATCAGGGGAGAGGATCTAAAACAATCAGACTCCATCCAACAGAATAAACCTGATTTAAAATCAAAGGGAATTATATATATATATATTTTAGGGCTGCAACTAACGATTATTTTGCAAATTGATTAATCTGTCTATTATTCAATTAATAATTGTATAGTAAAAGGACCTTTAAAGGTGAATTTATACAGAATCAAACCAGGTAAAACTATAACTTTTCCACTTGAGTAGTCCTGGGTAGAGCATATTAATGGACAATTTATTTTCTATCTTAAATTAAAATTATTTATGTTTTTTTTGTTGTTGTTGTTATTTTGGTATATTACTGCTCTAAGTGGGTCACTCTGTCAGCTACAGGCATGTTTCAGAGTCTCTATACTCCAAATAACGATGAATTGATTACTAAATATAATTTGCTTAATCAGGATTAATCCAATTAGTAGTTTCAGCCCATATATTTCTATCTATATATATAGATAGTTACATGGTTCGGCCCTTCTTACCTTACCAAATAAATTGATGCACTAAACAAATGAAACCAGTGATCAAAATTAGACAGTTATAGGTTAGTCAGATCTTTTCAGTGACCAGAAGGTCGATTTCTAAATAATAAAAACAGTTTTACCCTTAATTTAAAAATTAAATCTGTTCAAACTAAAAAAACATCCACAATTGATAAAACCAACAAAACATTCTCTGAGGTTCTAGACATTCATCTAATCCATTTATCTTCTGTTAAATTCACACAATCAGCCTGTCTGGGAACATGCCATTCAGTGTTTATGTTAGATCCATTGTTCTAAACAGCAAACCATAGAAAATGTTTACATGGAAGACAATGAGGATCTGCTAAAACTGGTGGATGATCAGAAATCGGTATGAGCCGGTGCAGGTCTGATCAGTGCATCTCTGATCTGTTCCCAGACTCTCAGGGAAGCAATGCATCACATATTACAACCTGCATAATAATGTTTAATAATAAATAAATAAATAAATGTGGTAACTCTGAGACCTTGATGTTGTGGAAAATTAATGCCTTTACATTAAAGCTTAAATCTTTTATTCTCATTTATCAGAAAATGTGTTATCCTTTTAAATGTGCATCATTTAGCTGTTGGTTTGGATTCCCAGCAGGATCCATTTTATCTGATTTTATCTTAATTGCATCCTCTAATTATCTTCGGGAGTTCCAGCAGCTCAGTCTGCAGCCACCAGCCTCCTCTGTCCCAGAAAGCCCCGTTTATCAGCAGCAGTCAGCTGGGAGCTAACGCTGCTAGCTGCCCTCCATGCTTCAGACCAGTTGATACCAGATCCACCGGAGGCTACTCCTGCTAGTATCCCGCTAGCCGCCGCCGCTGCTGCTGTGTGGCTCGGTAGCGGGGCTGGTCGCTCCGTCCTTACCGTCACCGCTTCGGGGTTCCTCAGCCGCTCTCTGGCTCCAGATCCCCGCGGCGGACTCTGCGGCCTCCCGGGCGGTTGGGGAACGCGGTGCCCGCTGTGTGTGCCTCTTTTTATTTTCTCTCTTGCTCCTCTTTTTGCAGCAGCACAGATTTCACCGCTCTGCATAAATTTGCAGCTGATGTGTTGTTTAGAGGGAAACGCCTCCTTTTTTTTCACGATGCTCTGCCTTTTCCGGCGCGACGGGATGACGGAGATAAACGAGGAGACCCCTTAAACACTGGCCCTCATAGCAACAAGCTCCATCATTCTATAGATGATTGAATATTTAAAATAGGGGGCAAATAAAAATTTGGATCCATTACTATTATATTGTATTCTTATGCCATTTTAAAAGAGTTTAATTTTTTTTATTATAATTTTGGATGTAGACCAATCATGGGCGGTTCTAGACAGGAGCCAATGGGGGCCAGTGCCCCTGTAGATCATGTCCTGGCCCCTTTACTGAAGACATAATACTTTGTTAATTTTTATTTTCTTTACAAATTCTGTTTTACTAATAATTTAAAAACAATAAGTTGATAATAGTTTGTTACTGTTTTATGAATTTCTAATTATAGATAAATGTAATTGTAAACTGTAATGTAATCTTTTACCGCTGTCTTTTGTTAATCTCAATGGGACTTTTTCTGGTTAAAAAAAGGAATAATAATAATAAAATAATAAGGCTTAAATGGTATTGAGATAGAATCCCAGTTTTCATCTACTTAATGTTTTTTTTCAAATGCTCTACTTTTTACAGGTGAATTTATCAACTTTTCTTGAGTTCTAATTCAGATGTTATAGAAAAAAAATGTAATTTCAACTTATGTAAAATCCCTAAATCCTGAACGTATATTGACCTAATAAGAAATAGAAATTTAATTAAACCTAATTGAATGGAAATTTTACTTGATGCAGCTCTCTTCATTTTTTTTTTTTATTTCATGCTTTTCTGTGCCCTCTCCTGGCCACCTTGTACATTTGGTCTAGAACTGCCATTGAGACCAATTCAATTAATTTTATTTATGTAGCGCCAATTCACAAATTGAGTCATCTCATGGCACTTTACAGTTCACCAGATCATACAGTCAAATTGGTTTAAAGTTTTCTATCTAAGTAAAACCAGTTGATTGCATCGACTCATTGACTCAAATGCAATCCCTCACACTAAGCATGCTTGTAACGACAGTGGAGAGGAAAAGCTCCCTTTTAACAGGACGAAACCTCCAGCAGAACCAGACTCAGTGTGAGCAGCTATCTGTCGAGGCAATCTTGTGTGTTACTAGTTATACTAAGTATATATTAATTTCTTCTCATATGAATGATGAAATGGATGGCCACAAATATTAAAATTCAGTCTTGGTGTTATTTATCATATTCAAATTACAGAACTCCTTACCTGATTCTGGTGCCACCTCCATGCTGTTTGATTCAATTCAATTCAGTTTATTTATATAGCGCCAAATTCACAGCACATGTCATCTCAAAGCACTTTACAGTTCAACCAGATCATACAGTCAAATTGATTTAAAGTTTTCAATCTAAGGAAAACTAGTTTATTGCATCGACTCATTGACTCAAATACAATCCCTCACACTAAGCATGCTTGTAACGATAGTGGAGAGGAAAAACTCACTTTTAACAGGAAGAAACCTCCAGCAGAACCAGGCTCAGTTTGAGCATCCATCTGCTGACTGGGGTTCAAGGACACAGAAGCAGAGACACAAAAAGCAGCTGCAAAAGGCGGCCCCGTCCAGGAAACACAGCCAGGCAGACGAGCTCCGAGCCAACTCCCATGCCAGAGGACGAAGAGAGCACATCCAGCCAGTCACGGTCAGAGAAACAGGACCACACTGGAACACAGGCCGATCTCCAGCATCTATAAACAAGGGTGTTGATGGCAGCAGCACAGCTGATGTTTCTCTCCAGGGTGGCGCCAAACAGGAGCAGACAGGGTGAATTAATGAATAAATCAGAATGATGAAAATGTCACCATGTCCTCCAGAAGTCTAACCCTATAGCAGCAAAACTATAGAGATGGCTCAGAATAACCGGAGCCCCTCTAACTAGAAGCTTTATAAAAAAGGAAAATGTTTCCAGGATTTTTTTTCTCAGTTTTGTTCTGGACAGAAAACAGTAAAAACTGAATTTTTATCTTTCTCACCCCATAGGAATGGTTAGAGAAACATTTATTTGAATCTGAACATATTGGGGAGGGATGGAACCATAATATAACCTACTAAGATGCTGAGACTAGTTAAACACTCTTAACATTTAACCTCAAATATCTTATCTTCAGAAGGAGGGTTTGTTCTCCAGTGTGAAATCAATCTGAACTGTTTCCAACATATTGATCCCCCGAATTCACTGACTGCTCCAAGGTTGGAACCTGCTGGAGGACCAGTGGTCCAAACCAGCTGCATTATAAGCATGATGTCACATAATATGTATTCCTAAACAAGTTAATTGATTGTTGAAACACATGTCTGTGCTTACTTCATAACATGACATCTGAATGCTAGCAGGGATAATTGTTAGCCAGTGTTTGGGAAAATTTAGAAACTGGGGAAATGAGCACTGAGAGGTTAGTTCCCACTTAGCCCAGGGGTCTGCAACCTGTGGCTCTGGAGCCACAATTGGTTCTTTAGATCCTGGACAATGGCTCCAAGTTATCAGTTGATTTGATTCTATATTTTTTTTCCTTTATTTAACCAAGTAAACCCCGTTGAGAGCTGGATCTCATTTTCAAGGGGTACCTGGGCAGAGATCTGCAATACAGTGCAACCTGGTTACAAAAAAAAATCAATCAATACATAGAAATGTGTACATAGAAAAATACGTAGGAAAAAATAATAAATACATAGAAATTAATGTGAGCCTGAAGACTCAGCTCTCGCGAGACCCATATACTGGCGGTGTGCTGTCACTAGGAATCCCATTCAACAACAGCCTATAGCCCGGTCGCCTCGTCGCGGTTTTCCGCGGCGGCGTAATCCAAACTGCAGGCACCAGGATAATAAAAGTGAACATATTCTGCCAGCAGGTTTCTACATTTTAAGTTAACTTCGGCCTTAATAAACTGTTTCAGAGGAGTGATCATCTGATCATCAGCGATGTGTTTGTCTCCCTGACATCTCCCAGATCAGCTTTTCTGATTGGTTGATGCAGCGCATTTTGTGTCAAAATTATTCAAAACTTTTTGCACTTCAAAAAAAAAATAAAATAAAATTTAAATAAAACAATTTGAACTTCAATTTTTTTTTCACTTAAAAAACAAAAAACAAAACAAAAAAACCCCAACAATTTATTCATGGGGTATTTTTTTTGCATTTGCACAGTTTTTTTCTTTTATTTATTTTTTTTATTTACCGTATTTATTTATTTATTTTTTTATTGAAACAACTTTTGGGGAATTGAATGATTAAGACACAATTGTCCATGTATGGCCCAAAAGGAAAAAAAATCCCTTCAACCAAAGAGAACATTTTCAACAATAAAAAAAGTGTTCAAATGCAACTTTTTGAGTCTCAAATATTGTATTTGCATTCAAAAACTATTTTCTATGATTAAAAAAGTTTATCTGTTCAATGAAGTTACTTTTTTTATTGATTTTGTTGTTTGTTTTTTTGAAGCAACTTCTTTTTTGATTGAATAATAAAGACACAAATGTCCTACCCATTATATGGTCCAATCAAAAAACAATGTTACATCAATTAAAAAAGTTGCTTTAAAGCAAAAAGACTGCACTTCTATCAAATAAAACATTTTTAATCAAAGAAAAGCAGTGTCCAAATGTATTTTTTTGAGTCTCAAATATATTTTTGCATTTAAATACTTTTTTTTCTTTGATTGAAATGTTTTTTTTTTCATTAAAGGGAAGATTTTTTTAATTGAAAATATATTTTTCGATTGAAGCAACCTTTTTTTTTTTTAGATTGAATAATAAAGAAATAAATCTATCTTAATAAGAATATAGAATGAAGCAGAATGATGAAAAGAGACCCCTATGTCCTCCAGCAGTCTAAGCCTATAGAAACTAAACATAGCTCCGGATAACCTAAGCCACTCTTAAGTTTTATCAAAAAGGAAAGTTTTAAGCCTTGCCTTAAAAGTAGACAGGGTGTCTGCCTCACGGACTAGTCTGGTTGTTTGTTCCACAGGAGAGGAGCCTGATAACAAAAATATCTTCATACCATTTTACTTAAAAGATTCTAGGAATCACTAGTGAACCTGCAGATTGAGAGAGAGGTGCTCTGTTATGAAAATAAGGTACAATCAGATCGCTGATATAAAATGGAACCATTTAACACTTTAAATTAGGGTTCAGAGAGATTTTGTGAATTGATAACTTTTTCTTAGTTTTTAATCTACTTACAGATGAAACCATGACACCTTAAAGACATATAAAAAAAAAAACAAGATCACCCTTTTGTTCCTCAAATATGGCAACTTTATTTAGCAACAATGTTTTTGGTATTTGCAGGGCAAATAAAAATTGAAGGGTCCGTCACTGCTATCACACAAGGTAACAATAACTAACTCTACACCATCGACCATAATTACAGTAACTACTGAAACATAAACACAACTCTTGGTTTTTCCATGTCGAACAGTCTGTAATCAAAGCACTGAAGCCCAAGGTGTATGCATTTCCACTCAGAATGTTTTATGTGGGGACAAGAAAACCTTCTTCACATGTGCAAAGGTGAGCAGTTCCAAACACTAGCCTCTTCATAATCAGACATGGACAGACAGTTTAAACACAGCCCAAATAAATCATAACAAGACACAGATAACACAGACATCATCAATAAGAACAAACATTCATAGATAATAATATGCAGCAGCCACAGTTTGCTGTTGAGTGACACTCAAATTTGTAAGGACTATACCAGCTATACTGCTGATTTAGTCTGGGATAATGGATAGTGACATAGTGTCATATTCGTTAGGGTAGGTTGGAACAGATTTTAATGTTAATCTTGACTGTTTCTAGGTAATATAACCTTGTAGAAAACCACTTGGTCACACTTATTTGCTTTTAGGAAACATTTTGAAGCATCATGGCTCAAACACATAGTTTCCCAACTATGACTGTAGTCTAATGAAGCATGACTGTAACAGGATGTAAGTTACATATTACCAATCAATAATAGTCATTGACTTTGCAC